TTTGCCCCACTGTATATATATATATATATATATATGAAGAGTTCATTTGCAAAAACCGATAACTCAGTTTTTAACAATTCTCAAAAATCATGTTTTTTCATTCCATTTGCATTCCAATTAATCTCAATCAAACTGCAGTTGGGTTATTTTGACTAGGTTAAAAAATAACTTTAAAAACAGCTAACTAACACAATAAAACACAATAAAAACGTGATAACATTATAAAAAAACATGATTTTTGAAAGTTTTTGAATTATAGGTTTTGGCAAAAAAAACCTTCATATATATATATATATATATTGTATATATAAAGTGAATGTGAAAAGCACAATACAATTCTGTTTTAGTAACAAAATTACTAAAACGTTTAAATGCCTACACTCTTAAAAATAAAGGTGCTTCAAAAGGTTCTTCAAGCGATGCCATAGAAGAACCATTTTTGGTTCCACAAAGAACCATTCAGTCAAAGGTTCTTTAACAAACCATCTCTTTCTTACCTTTTTATAATCTGAAGAACCTTCTTTCGCCAACAAAGAACCTTTTGTGAAACAGAAAGGTTCTTCAGATGTTAAAGGTTCTTTATGGAACCATTTAGACAAAAAAGATTCTTCTATGGCATCGTGAAGCACCTTTATTTTTTAAGAGTGTAGACTACTAAAACAAAGATTAAAATTAAAAAACATAAAATTAAAAGCCAATTAAAAAAATATGAATAAATACAATGTAATATAATACTAAAACAACACCGACGTTTACAACATATATTTTATAGCATAGATTTTAAATATATTTTGGGCAGGTCTTTACCCACTATGCCATATCATCACACTTTATATGAAGATGCTTCAAAAAGCCTGTGGAAGAAATGGACACTGAGAAAAGTGCAAGCAATGCATCTAATCATGGACAACTGTTTATGGCATTCAGCCTTTACATTTTCACTTCATAGAGCCAAAGGAATGAGATTGTAAATCGATAGATGGCAGCCCAGCTAATGAGATTGGAAGCGCAGGCTAACTCCCTCTCAATAGCCATCCGAGCGCGAGGCGCTATAAATAAAAGCTAATCTCTGATCAATATCAGTGGCCGTAGCAGTCATGCACACAGCCAACACCAAACACAGACTCGTGGTGCTTCGATGGCGTGACAGGAGACTGGATTCTCAGTCTGCTCCTCCATCAGCAAACAAAACAATGCATCTGAATGCAAAAACCACTCCACCTCAGCGTTCCCTTCCATCACATTCAATATTCAATGCTATCAGGCTGTTTGTTCAATTTTCTGATAAACAAAATCAAAGCACAGTAAGGAGCAACATTAGGAAAATGATATACAGTTTTCAACATTTTACTGCAGTAAGTCACATTTTAAAGCACTAAATGCAATAAAACAATGGATATTGTGAATTCGATTACTTTAATAACCTGATATTAGGGGATAGTTTTGGGGACGCTAAAAATGCATGTTGGACAGGAGAGTGCTTTACTTTAAACTGAAGCTGAAATTTTCTTTTACTGTAAACATGTATAAAAAAATTAAGACATTTTGCATTTACTAAAAAATTTTCTCAATATTTTCCTATTTTAAAAATATATTTCATTATGTAAATTCTGTAAAGTGTTATAATTGTTAACTAAAACTTTTAAAAATGGTTTGTTAATTGAAATAAATCTGGAATAAAATGAAATATTAAATAGAAACAAATAAAATTGAGAAATGTTTCTTTGGGGAGTAACTGAAATAAAACAAATTGAATTGAAGCAATTCAATTAATCAAACTAAAACGGAAATAAATATAAAGCTAAATATAAATATGGAAAAACGAAAGCACAGAATGAAATTGCTCAAACTTAAACTAAAATGAAAAATTAATAAATATTATAATACTGCATAAACAATACTAACATAATACTGACTGTCTGCACTAAAAGTATTAATTATTATTTTATTGCTGTTATTTGAAATAAAGCTGGAATAAAATGAAATATAAACAATAGATAAAATCTAAAAACAAAAAAAGGAAAATTAGAAACTAACTGAAACTTAATTTTAAAATTGCTATAGCTACATTTGTAATA